AAAAAAAAAAAAAAAAAAAAAGCCAGACAATAGGAAAGAAAGAAAAAAATGTTATTGTAATCCAGCACGGACATGTATCTAAAAGTGTACCTTGATTTAATAACATTGTCTTATGTGTATTTTTTAAAAAAGATTGCTTTTTGCCTGTTAGTCTGGCTGTTGTGATAAGTAATTTGAGAAGGACTTATAAAATAAATATATAAATGAATCTGAGGCTGGCAAAAAAAAATTTAAAAGGGGGGAGGGGAAGAATAAAAAAAGAATTGCGATGTGTTCTGTACATGCACCAATTGTAATCATTATGCACTGTAAGCTTGTACTAATAAAAATAAAAAAGATGAAGTTATGTTTGAAACCATTTTCAAGTCACATGCTTGGCATGTGTCAATCGTTGTGACATGGTCCTCAGTGCCCCTAAGTTTTAAGCTCTCTGACTCTCAGAAGATCTTGTCCAGTCCCTTCTTAATCCAGTGGAGGGGCAGAGTCTTGATTCTAAGATGGACAGGTTCCTCACCGTTACAAGCTTAGCATCTGGGCTTCTTTCTCCTTGGTACTGGTCCAGGAATACAAACGTTTTGCTGAGTGGGGTCATGCCTTCGGGGAAGAAATTAGAGCATTCATGTAACCTCATCATTCTCTTCCAGTTCAGTAATTTTAAAACTGCAGAAACTGGCAAGTTGTTCTTGGCACAGTTAAAATGGGCAGCCACGAATAATTCTGGGAATGTGTCACTCCCATCAGCAGTAACAGTGAGAACTCCCGAGGAGCTGAAGGAGGAGGCTTAGCCAAGGGGAAGGTGCTGGACTTCAGATCACGCGCAGTGGTCACAAGTCAGCGATTTATTAATTACTGAAGCACAGGATTATGTTCAACAAATCAAAGGTGGAGTAATTTATTACCTTTTCAAAGGGCCTCTTGAAAACTCCTGGAAAATTTGAAGAAAAGGGACTTTTAATTAGCTAAGTAAAACAACATTAAATCCACACGAGGAATTTTGTAATTCCTTTCATTTGAAGACAGGTTTTATAGAGAAGGAGCTATTACAGCTTGTTCATTTTCCAGGAAGAAAATTCTAGAATTAGTGGCACTCATGAAAATTACAGTTTTATTATTAATTTTTATGTTTAGTTGTACAGATTCCATATTAAGAGGCCATCGTGTCTTATAAGCTTCCTCAGAAATGTAGTCCCTAGCCTGAAAATCACGTTAGAATCATACATTTAAAAAAATTATCTTAAAAACAGCATTAAATGTAACTCATTATTAGAATAACAATACATGGTTTTGGCAGTTCTTTTTAAATATACAATTATTAGGTTCTCACTGAAGAATCACTTAAAGAACTGAACTTCAGGTAGACTCCTTTGGGAGAGGAAAGATGCTTTGCTTGGAGAAGGGGCTCAGGCTGGGCTCAGTCAGTGATGACCCAGGCGTTGTTCCCTTTGTGTGGAGAACCTGTGAGTATCTTCCATGACTGTGTTAACATGTATGTTTTCAAGGGAGCAGAAAAACATGTTCTTTTTCCTGTCCCACTGTATGGCTTTCACAGTTTTATTTGTATATCCAGAAGCTAAAAACAAACAAACAGACCATTCCATCCCTTAGCAAGTAACCTTTTTATAAACACCATACAATTTATAGAATGCATGCTGGGTTTTTTTTTTTCCTTATTTTGGTTGAAAGTTTGTTTCTTCTGTAGAATCCTCTGTCTTCCTTCATGACATTGTTCTCTAGGCCCTCCAAACAAAAATAATCCCAGAAGTCCCACCCTAAAAACTTCCCTCACTGCTCATTAGCTCTCCTCTTTATCCAATCCCTCTGTAATTGTCTTCATTTGGGAATTTATTGTCTCTGTTCTGAGACATTGCAGTTGTCTCTTTTTCAAGTTTTCCAATTTGCCTTTATCCTTTGACTCTTACCATCAAATTTATCGCATGGATAGGCCACAGACAGATATTTCTAAAATGTAACCGATGATGGTAAGCCCGTCTAAAGTTTTCAGTAGCTTCTCCAGTCCTGAAGGAGTGGAGTTTGATAGTATGCAATGACATGGATGGTATATCTGGCCTTTTTACCTAATCTGGCATTTCTTTTGCAAACTGTGCTCCAGCTGCCAGTCTGAACTAGATTTTCTAACACTTCACTTTGTGCCTGTCTTCCCATTCTAACCAAAAAAAGACTCCTACTTATGCTTTAACAGCCAACTCAGGTAGTTTCTCTTTCTTCCTGGACTAAGTCACACCTTCCCATCTTTACCCTACTGAGCAGAGCTAGCAATTCCCTCCTTAATGATACCAGTGAACTCAGAATCCACTGCTCTATTAAAAATTTTCATCCCTATGAGACTGGGGCTAGAGACTGGTCCTCTCTATTTTGTATGTCTTCTGTCTACCACTGGCCTGGTATATAGGAGGTGCTTATAGATGTTGGTAAGGTAAAAGGACATCCAAGTTTATTCCAAACTATTCATTCTTTTTAAGATAACTTTTACTGTTTTCTTCTACTTATAACAATATCATCCAATGACTGGAAAAAGGTTTAGAAGAGCTGTAGGGTCAGTGAGTTTTTAACCAATCTGAATACAAATCAAATTCAGATGTTTTGTATTTTCCTTCCAAGGCCCTTGTAGAATCTCTTTCTCCTTTCACTGGAGATTCCCAAAGGGGTATAGTTTGTGTCTCAGAGTAGGCCTGTTGCTTGTTATCACAGCTAACAGAGACAGCACTTCAATAACCAAGCCAAAACTCAGCTGTTGTCCCTGAAAGTTTCATTGAGGACCCATTTCTAGTTGGAAATCTGATTCTAAGTTGTAGCTTCTATGATGTGATGATACCAAGACATTTGGGACTTTTCCCCTCCTTCCTAGCACTAGAGATGCTGGCCTTCTGCCACGCAGGTGAGAGTGCAAGCACTCTATTGCTTCGCTCAGAGCTGGTTGATCATGGTATGGTGTGTCAAGTGGCCTCACAGAGCCTCTTGTTGAATCTGGTTAATAGTTCTAGGGCCCTAGGTCCCTTTTTCTCTTATGATGATTTCTCAAAGGCACTGTTGTCCGCTGTTTCCAGCTGTGCTGCTCTCAACTCCTTTTTTCATTATCTGCAAATATGTCTCTGTATGTCTAAACTCCAAGAGTTCACAGTTCAAATTTAGACCAGGTTCCTCCTTAACCCTTGGCAAGTAGTAATGGATATTCATCCTGTGTAACAGACAAGAAGATAAACTGGACTCTACCCCATGCATATACTAACTGCAATTTCTAATTTATACCATTAGCTATTGCTCTTTTTAAAAAATAATAATGAAGGGCCTACCCATATAAAAGATAAGGCTTGTCATTACTTTTGCTAACTATGACAAATCTCCTAAGTACAGAGTTCGGCTAGCAAGTTCTGACAGTTGTATGGATTGTTCTTTTAGGAACTTGGTTAATGGTATGCTTTTTTCATGTGTTAAAGTAACTTCAATGGAGTTGTATATAACTCAGGTGGAAACTATTAAATTTACCTTTTATTCCTGGCTGAGTTTGGTTTGGTTGGATGTGTATCTGGTGTTAGTCTGTTGATTTATTTTTGTAGACAAAATCTGTGTTTTTGTAACCAAGCGTTCAGTGTATAAAACCTGGTTACTTCAGAATAAAAATTCTCTAACGATAATCATACTGCATGTCTTAGTCACTTGCATCGTTGCTGAGACGAAATACCTGATACCCACAGCTTAAGGAGGGGAGTTTGATTTTTGGCTTACAGTTTTTAGAGGATTTGGTCCAGAGTTGTCTGTCTCCAAGTCAGGAGGGACACGGAGGAAGGGTCTGGAGGAGGAGAGCTGCTCATACTACGTCTGCCAGGCCGCGGAAAGAGAACAGAGGAGATGGGAACTGAGACAGACCCTTTCATGCCCCCGTGATTCTCCTCTTCCGACCAGACCGCGCCTCCTAACGGCGTGTTTAACTACGGATTCCTTAGTAGCTTGCCCTGCTGAGTGGTATAACACTCCCGTGATTCAATCGTCTAGAACCTCCACATGAGACATTTCAGATCCAAACCGTAACACTGTATTGTACAAATGTGTACAGTTATGATGTGTTAATCAAAATTTAAAAAATATTTGATATAAAATTGCTAACTATTCTGATTTGATCATTATATATCATATGCATGTATTGCCACACTGTACCTATAGATATGCATAATTAAATTACTCCTAATTTAACAATATAATACAATTTTAAGGAGACTAGACAACTAATAATCATGAACACAATATATGTGTGTTGTAAATTTACATTTTTTTCATGGCTATGATGTCTACGCTTGACTGGTACTTCAAGGCCTTTCATTATTTATAGTGTCATCCAGTCTGACAAATCAGATATGATTGGTTTGGTTTTGTCTAGCCTTAACAAAAATGGAAAATGTGCTAAAGATTAGTAATTTCTTCTCAATTTGACTCCAAATTTGCAAGGAAATACACAAATTTCAAGCTCATCACACTGAAATAAAGAAGTATATTAAGATGATAAGTAGTCATTTTATTAACAAATACACATTTAAAATGTTTGTGATAGAATATATCAACATTGAGCAAAGATGTGCATACACAGTAATTCTATAACCAAGAGGACATCTCCATTTTGTTAGTTTTGGTGCCATCTTCCCAACCACGTCTAACCCTCAGTATCTTGGTCCTAAAGCATGGTAGGAACAGTATAGTTTTCCATATCAGGGTAATGATTGGAAGGAAAACAGCTATCATAAAAGTTGGAGGTGTATACCATACGAATTGTTTTGTATCTACCCATTTATTCCAGGCAAAAATCAACGCGTGTATCGTACCCAGCAGGAGGGAAACGATTCCGAGATTGCTCTGCAAAAGAAAAGCAATGTTATCTTAGTGAGGATTGGTTCAATAAGAGCTTGTTCCATTCCACCTCATCTGGATCTGTTCTGTTGCTTGGAAATCTTTTTATTCCTTTAGGATTCTTTCCCTGACTCAATTCTCAACAATGCCCATTCATCCCTTTCCTCTCTTACCATTTTACTTTTGGGTAGCATTCTCATCTTCAAGCTAAGTTGAGGTAATTCACAACTTTCTTTCTAGTTTTTCAGGTGATCAAGAGCCCCATTTTTCCTTTTTCTGTCATTTTGTTCATTTCTTTTATGACATTTATTTTTAGGGTGCTTTGTCTCTTGTGTGTTTGCCTTAATTCTGCCTCTCAACAGGCATCTAACATCAGGAACTGTACGTTAGTCATCACGCTATCCCTGCAAAATTAGCAGAAGGATTTGCTGCATGTATTAGGTGCTCAAGAGACATTGATAGTGACCTTTGGTCACTGCAAAGATCAGTTTAACGTCAGTGATCTTTATTAATTATTACAGAAAATAATGTGATTCAAACTGATTTTGGTAAGTGAATAGGGAATTGAGTGAGCTTGGACTGTGTTTTTTTAAAAGTCAGACATTCTGCTAAAATGGAAAAACACTGGAAATTTTTCAGTATTTGAACAAAATAGAGAACTAGTGATGTGAAGAAAAAATTCAATTTGTATCGCAATATTTTGGCATCATAGAGAAAAGCTGCTTACAAATAGTTACCCATGTAATTTTATAGCATTTTGACAAAAGCTTTTCTAGATAACTTTTGGCTTCTATTCATTTTCCTGGAAATAAGCATTGGCCTGCCAGGATCAATCTAACTCACAGTTATTCCACTGTACCTTAAGGCCCAGTGGATACCATTAAACAGGTAAGTTTATATTTTCAGATGTGACTCCCCATGGTGAATTGTAGTGTGGTCAGTGGTTTAACTGCAAATGAAAAATTTCAAGGATAGTAAATGAAAAATATAGGTGATTGCTTGAAGATTAATTTCGCCAACTGTGTATTGTATACTTGCTCGGCCATCAAACTGTGAGGCTTGAATCCTTAATTAAATCTGAAAAGTGGCCCTCAGCCTGTGAGTGATGGGCAAAGCGATGCAAAGATAAATGATTTCACGAAGAACACAAAACTCCAATGGCCATCAGGCCAATGAGAAATTAGAAAGTACTTTGCTTGGAGAATGTGGTACTATCTTTAACATACACCTGAATAATTCGGATGGGGAGACATTTCTCAGCCTAAGCAAACACCCTGCAAAAGTGTCTATTGGAAGCATGTATAACCATGTACAGAGGAGGGTGGAGAATTCTGGCTTTGTGGAAATTTCTGAAGATGTTCACTCATAAAACTTAAATCTATATAATTAAAAATAATTGGCTGTGTATATAATGGCATTACATTTAGTCCTTTGAATGTTGTCAGACACGGGGACCTTTCTGAATTTTAGTACACTGTACTTTTAAAGTGTAATTTCCCACTATGAGAAAAATTCCAGTACATTTGAGATGGTTTTGAATTCCAAGAAGATTTACAAACTTCAAATGAGTAAGCTATCTAAAATGTAACCTGGAAAAAGCAGATTTCAAAATTAGGTATTAGAATATCTTTGATCAATAAAGCTCCTTATTGTAAGGAGTTTTACAAAGCTTGTACAAAGCTGTGTAACTTAAAAGGGATGACTAAATCCGAGGATAGGTAAAATAATATTTTTATTTTGAGGGAACTAGTAAGAGATGGACATTCCCAAAGCATCACATTTATGGTTATTATACGGGCAATGAGTTATCTAACAAGTTTTAATGTTAGAATGTTTTTCTTTTGGTAGTGCTTTTTAGTTATATCTGCAAAATACATCCTATTTAGAAGCAATAGGGAAAAGAATAAGAGAGAATATTGTTAATGAAAACAAGTGCAGAATATTTATTATTGGAAACATTTGCTATTTTTTATGGGATAAAATCAATGTACTTTATATTAAAAGCACAAAAAGATTTACCTCTCCAAGGGACTCAAGTTATTTGTAATTATCATTTACCTGAATACAGTGAAATTCTCTCCATGTCAAGGAGTCACTCACAGATGGAACTGATGTCACAGCCAACAGAGCCAGTAATGCAAGTCCCACAATTCCCAGAGACACATAAATCTCCATTCTCCAAACATCATGCTCAATCCAAGCATCTTCTTTATTTTGTTGGACCTATCAGAAGAGGAAAGAGAAAAGAACAAATGCAAACCACATGTGAATCCCCCTCTGTAGTCCCTGAGTCTACTACGGAGGTCTTGATAACAAAGGAGATCTGCTCAAATTTATGACTTTTTTCTTTTCTTTTTTTGCATTCCTCTAAGAGAAATGACAAAGGACCTATCACTTTTTCCCTAGGTGAAAAATTTATATAATTTTGTAATTATTACATATCTAACAATTATCTGATGATTTACTTGGACAGAATTATAGAGTACATGCAACATGTGGTAAATAAGCAAAAGATAAGAAAGGTCATTATGAAGTAATTTCATGAGGGTGGTAGAAGATAGAAATGGGGCTCTGTCTGTGAACAAATTATATTTTTATGTGTTTAAAGTTGTACATTTTTGTTTATTTTCAGCTTAGAAAATAATCCCCAGTGTGAAGCTGTACCACAAAGCCCCAGTGAAGTGTAACAAATTTTTAAAAAAAATGCAGATCACTTTCTCAACACAGGGTTTCAATAGAGGTTTGTAATATTAATATCACAACAAAAAGGACTAATTTATTAAGTGACTTTGGCTTTGTAGTTCAATAGTATCATCAACCGCATCATCCTACCTGTTGAAATGCCCAGTTTAACAGCTTGTATCTGTAGGATCGTCTCATTGGATAAGATAGACTATAAATTGCATGCAGCACAGCAAAAAAGAAACTGAGAAGTCCGAACTGCTTTCTTGTTAACATCCACTTATCTAGCCAAGGTGGAAATTTCTTATATTTGGTTCCATTATGCAGCTGTACAACTGCTGCTATCACACCTGGCAAATAAACCAGTGCCAAGAGGGTGATGGAAACCATTGGCAAGACTTTGTTGATGACCAGGATTGGAATTTTATAAAAATATTGTTGATGTGAAGTTACTAAAGGGTGAATTATTTCCCTCAGGAAAGTGTAGAGAAAAGTCAGCGATGACACAACAGCAGCTATTTTAATTGGTAAGCGCCATTGTGGAAAGAGTTGCTGTTTGTGCTGAAGTTCCAAGGGACAATCAAATTCGTTAACATGGGTGGTTTGTGGCAAATGCAAAAGCATAGGTCTTTTCAGCATGCTGGTCTCTCCCATGTCCTTACTCTACAAAGGAAGGAAAAAGAAACATCTTAAAACTGAATTAAACAATGGGATTTCTCTTAATCTAATTTGTTGTTCCGTCATCGTACCCCCAGTTAATAAAGGCATTCAGAGTCTTGCTTTTAGATACTGGTTAGGTGGAGAGCATAGTTTATGTAACACTGACCAAAAGCTCACTTAGTTATTTTGGGCTTCTCCATTAATTTGTTATTTATTTGTCTTTAAGACAGAAGAAATCTGAAGATATGTCCATCAGAGCTTAGGGCATTTTGTCTATAATGAAGATGTGAAATAATGGAATAAGGAAATGGGAATCAAAATTGGAAAATAAAATTTTAACGAGTCCACTAATCTTTGGTAAAAATAATAAATTTGCAAACTATGATAGTTGTGTTTCTTTATCAAATTTTTATTGGTTCATAGACAACTCTCTACAAGGCACTAAAGAGTAAATTATTCACTAGATCAAAAAAGAGAGTTAGGAATAATATTGCTATTAAAATTTGATGATATGTAATTTTCATCATGCACTCTTACATTTTCATTTTACATTTCTAAAATAACTCATTTGTCTAAGTACTGCTGGACAAATACTTATTGATAAGGCTACACATCTAGCTAAATTCCACAGAGATAACCTATTTTCTGAGAAAGGCATACTTCTTTGGCCAGTTCCATTTCTAGGCAGTCAACAGTTTAAAAGAAGGGTACATTGAATAATCTATCTGTTAGGTAAACAGAGCTGAAAACCAGGACCAGACCAGAACTATATCAAGCCTTTTTTATGGGGAGGGTCTGCTGGGCTGTCTCTGAACAAAGGAGAGAAAGCAACATGATAGAACAGGGAGCTTTTTTTTATAGGACTGGGGTGGGGCTTATAGGAGCTGGGGTGGGATTGAGTGATATAATATTAGGAGCCTATGACATCACTAGGAGGGGCTTGTGACATCATTAGCTGTTAGGAGGTAGCAAGTATCAGGTTACTCTTTAGGCGTAATAGGCATGATGGGAAGAAGAAGCCTGTCCTTTGTTGGGAGAAGCCATATTTTAATATGGAGGCTGCTATGCTATGTGGCAGCCATTTTAAGGCAAGGGAAATGTAACACCATCATTTCTCCAAATGACTGATATATGAAAAATAAAAAAGGCTCAAAATTTACTTCTCCCTCAGCTCCTTATTCCTTATCTTTATAACTGTGTGAAGCTAGAACATTTTTATGCTTGAAATGATGGCAGTGATGATCATATTCATCTCATTTCATGCAGAGTAATTTTAGTTCACACATATCTCTATAACATTCAGAGTTTAAAAATGACCTCTCTTGCCATTTGAATTTTACTTGGTGTAATAAATCACCATTATAGCCAATGCTTTTTGTAATTGCTTCACCTAGAAAGGATACAGCTTCTGTCATTTCTCCGTGCTAAGACAGCCTAAGTATAATAAACTGAGATCAATTTTCTGGTTAAGAGTGAAGACTTATGCAACTGCAAGTAGGATAGTTACACTGAAAACCGAAAATGATTTTGTCTTAGGTAGGTGTGAGCTTATAATTTCTTAATTATTTTTCCTTTTAAAATAAATATAATAATTTCTGTTCAGTCTGACTTTGAAGTAACTTAGAAAAGTGAGGGTTTGAGACTAAAAATTTCTGCTAATTTTTCAGTCAAGTAATTTAGTTAGAAACATTTAATCTCATGGTTGACCAAAAGTAGGACAAGTGATTCTTATCCAAAAATGAATGTAATTGGTTAAACAGATAGTCATCCATTTAATCAGTGATCTTTTGGTAAGCTGCCACAGTGCTATGAGAATAATGCCTGCTCTTAAAACTCCTGTTTTATGGACATTGGTGACTTTTTTCTTTTTTAAGTTTAGAACCACAGACAGGAAGAATTTGAAGGGCCCTCGAGATGATCTGGTGCAATTTCTCTACTTTGAAGGAAAATCCAGGCTTTTCAGTGATTTATTCAAGTTTATTCAGCTAAGTCTTTGACAAACAAAGTACTATTTCTCTTATATATACCATACTGCCTTTGAGTATCGTACCAGTAAGAAGAAATTGAGTGCAGATATCAGCAGATAGGGAGAAAATTACTCTTACACTAGGAAGAGACAAAATGGCTTTTGAATTATGTTGATAGATTTTCAGTTATTAAGAATGTTTAATTTTACCAAATAGTCATCATCTTCTAGGCTTTTATCCTTCATTTGCCAAAGTTCTTCTTGGTTTGGGATATCTTTTCTGTTCTCCATTAATTCTGTAAAATAGTAAGGTGTCACCTACCTAGAAAAATAAAAACAATGACCTCTTTAAGTATATTTTACTTATAATGACAGTATAGTAGTTCATAGGACAATATGATATATTCACTTACATACTAGAGAGAAAGATAAACTACACCTAAATTCAGATAGTGACTAGTTTATATACTTAGAGCATCTCAAACTAGCATAACTAATGAAAGCAATAAATTGCTTTTCTTTGCCCAACTAAATCTGTACTATTTATCTGTAAGAACTATAAAAGGTACCACTTACTTTTTATTTCAGGAAGATTTAACTCCAGGTTCTCATTTAGAAGAAAGCCTACTCTTCTCAAAGGCAAAGAGAATTAGAAATTCATTTTTTTAAAAGAGGAACAATTTCATCAAGTGGGGTTAGAAATAGTTGATATGAAATCACAGTTCAGGAAGTTATATATTTAAGAGACATTGAGGGTTGACTGGAATCTGAAGCTATCATTAATTTATTTTATGGGGAAGTGTTTGTTTCAGACGAAGACCAGAATAAACACTATTGGTAAAGTGAACCCTGACAGAGTCCCAAAGCACTAACATGTTGCATTTTCAGAGTCCATTTCCTATCAGAGTAATGGGTGAGCCTTTGGTGGTAAGTACATGGGCAGTGAGGTGTTGGGTTGGGCTCAGTCATCACCATGCCTGCTCTCATAGTATTTATTTAGCAGATAAAGGAATCTTTTCCTGAATGACTTCCACAGGTCCCAATCTGTGTTGGGGTGATATTATTTTAGGAACAAGAAACACAAGATGTCATAATATTATTCACTGTATTTATTAGTCCTAAATTCATTTCTAGAGGACTGTTCTGCAATATGTACTTTGTGAAATTCAATGAGAAAAACAGATTAAACTGATGCAAAACATTCCAAGTGTTTTGAATATTAGCTAAGTGGCACAGTACCTTATTTAGTAGAATGCTGATTGTAGGAATAATTTAAAACACTTAAAACATTCTCCGGGCTCAGAATTTCACAAAGAATAAAGAGGAGTAACCTGTGCAAAAGGCCAACATTTTCTTTGCTAAGATGCTCCTAGAACATTTTATGTTACCTACCATGGAAGTCCAGCACATTCATGGTGATGATTTCAGGCTGAAAATCCTTATTCTACAAATCCAAAATCTGAAATGCTCTGAAAGTCTAAAACTCTTTGAACACTGATAGGGTGCAACAAGAAGACAATTTCTGGCCCTCGCCTTGGCCTGTATCCCATGGAAGGTGGAAGGTGGAGGTAGGGACAAGCGCTGTGCAGGGATCCCATCTCCTTGCTCAAGCAAAGCCTGCCACAAGCAAACTGGTGAGGACTGGTTTGCTGTGCTGGTAATTCTGCAATATCCACACAGCCCCCGCCCCCAGTCCTGCTGATTGTGTCAGTTCTTGGATTCACTCTGCAAAGGCACAGGTGGTCATAAAGCTCATTTTTCTGAGCTCCAGAAGACAGAACAGAAGTGAACAACTGCAATAAAGGTACATCAGATCTCCATAGTTGGTAAGTTGGAGGGATCACCATGTTCTATCAGAACTTTGAATGTCTTCAGAGAAAGGACAGAGGGAACCTGTAGTAGAACCTTGCAGAGTTCAACCCTGCAGGAGGTCAGGGAGGTCAATTTGAGCATTGGAGCCCGAATTCAGCCTGAATCTCAGCAGTCAACCATAGGCTAGCTGAAATTAAAGGACTTAGTTCTACACATGGCTACATACATTGTCTATTGTGACAGAGGAAATATAGTGTGAAAGAGGCCCTTCAAATTCTTTTTCTTCTTTCTTTTCCTCATTTCACTCTGCAAATTCTTTCTTTTTTCTGTTTTCTTTTTTTCAACTCAGTCTCTTGCTCCTCCATATTATTATTCATCTCCCTTTCTGTTCCTGTTCCTGCCATAACTCAGATTTCTTCTTTTATTGTTTTTTCTTCTTTATTTTCTTTTCTTCTCCCATTTCCTTCACTCAAGAGTCAAAAGCTTCAAAAGCTCTGTTACTGTTAAATTGTTATACTCTTGTCCTTATTCTTGCACTCTTGTCTTTCCCTCTTGTCTTCAACAGTTTTCTAAAGTTTGTGTGTTCATCCTGTGTCCTCTGGCTTCACTTGAAACTTTCTCCAATTCTTTTACCTATCTACTCCTCTCATCCTAACTTTGTCTAAGCCCCCATCCTAAAGGGTAAAGATGTTATATTGAAGAGTTTATTCACTATAAACATATTTTGGGCTGCTCCTTGATTTTGATTTAATTCACATGGTTTAAAGGTGATAGATTAATGTCTGCCACAATCGTTCAGTTTCTAAGTTGTGCTTGATCCTATTGTGTTGCTGATTGTATCAATTGGACTAAAGGGTTGTGATTTATTTAATGAGTTGTCTTTTCTGATATTATGAAAATGAGAATGTCTATGAGTTATTAGAGACTCAAAAGCTAAAGCACAACTACATCAGGGAGATATAAGTAATAACCCGGAATTAAACCAAGGACAACTCAACAACAAAAGTAAAAATGAGGAAACACTTAAGCCAGACACAAAGACAGACTTCCAGTTCACCAATGGCAAACTTTAGGGCAAATGAGGTTGAAAAGTCTGACAGTGAACCACCAAGACACCCTGAACTCATAGCACAGGAAGTAACAAAACCGATCAATCAGGCTCTAGAAAAATTAAAACAGAAATAATTTCCCAGATAATTATAGAGATGATGAGGACAATGAAAGGCATGATTAGAGACTCTAGAACAGAAGCTGACAAAAAATAGATGAGCTCAGGACCATGCTAGAAGCCATGAAAGCCCAGCATAAGAAAGAAATTGAAACAATGAATGCCCAACATAGGAAAGCAATGGAATCCATGAAACAGATTCAAACAGATATCCAGGAGATTAAAAACTCTACTGAAAGTTTTTGCACCAGGATAAATGAATGTGAAGATATAATTTCAGATATAGAAGATAGGATTGCAGTCAGTGACGGTGAAAAGAGAGGTCTCTTGAAATAAGTAAGGCATCATGAGAAATTGATCCAACAACTCCTAGATGATGCAAAGAAGAATAACATAAGACTGATAGGAATCCATAAAGTAGCAGGAGAAAATATAAAAGACTTAAAAAAGCTGTTCACAGAATTAATGACAGAAAACTTCCCAAACAGAAGGGAAGAATTTGACAAACAGATAAGTGAGGCATATAGGACTCTAGGGATGATATAAAAAATATATCTACACCTACACATAATAGTCAAAATCCAGGAAATGCAACATAAAAACAAAATATTGACAGCAGTTAGAGAAAAGAAGCAAATCATATGCAAAGGAAAGCCCATCAGAATCACAGCAGACTTTTCACCACAAACCTTCAGGTCAAGGAGAGCCTGTAGTGAGGTATTTCAAGTCCTAAAAGAAAACAACCTCAAACCTAGACTGATGTATCCTGCAAAACTCTATTTCAAAATAGATGGGGGAATAAGATACTTCCATGACAAAGAACACCTGAGGAGCTTCATGAATACTAAATCAGCACTAAAAGGAATTCTAAACAATATCCTAGAAAAAGGCAATGAAGGTCACAGCACCATGAGGCCCAACAGAGCAAATCAAAAGAGAAAGGCAAGAAACTAAAGGAAGAGGGGGTAAAATTGAAGAGTCAACAAAAGGAAAATAACATGACAATAATAAGTCAGTACATATCAGTTATAACCATCAATGTCAGTGGCTTCAATTCACCAATCAAGAGAAATAGACTGGCAGAATGGATTAAGAAACAAAATCCAACAATATATTGTATGCAAGAAACACACCGAGTGCAAAAAGAAGCCCATAGACTGAAAGTGAAAGGATGGAAAACAGTTTTCCATGTCACAGGAGCCCAGAATAAAGCAGGGGTAGCTATTTTATTCTCAGACAAAGTAAATTTCAAACCAAAACTGATTAAGAGAGACAAAGAAGGCCACTACATTCTTGTAAAAGGAACAATTCAAGATGAAGAGGTGACAATAATAAACATATATGTACCAAATATTAATGCCCTCAACTATATAAAACAAATATTAAGTAACATAAAAAACCAAATAAACACAAATACAATTGTAGTGGGGAATCTAAATACCCCATGTTCACAAATAGACAGATCATCTAGGCAAAAAATCAACAAGGAAATACTAGAACTGAACCAAGCTTTTGAACATATGGACTTAATAGACATCTATAGAGTGTCCCACCCCACAAATTCAGAATGTACATTCTTTTCAGCTGCACATGGGTCATTCTCCAAGATAGACCACATACTAGCTGATAGGACAGGTTTGAATAAATGCAAAGGAATCAAAGTTATCCCCTGTATATTATCAGACCACAGTGCAATTAAGCTGGAGGTCAATAGCATAAGAAACTGTAGGAACCTCACAAACAAATGGAAATTGAAAAACATATTCCTGAACAATGAATGGGTCACAGAGGAAATTAAAGAAGAAATTAGACAGTTTTTACAAATAAATGATAATTCCAATACAACATACAGGAATTGGTGGGACACAATGAAAGCCGTTCTATGTGGAAAATTCATAGCAGTGAATGCCCACATTAGGGAAACAGAGTGAGCTCAAATAAACAATGTAATGATGAATCTTAAAATCCTAGAAAAACAAGAGCAAGAAAAACCCAAAGCTCAAACAAGAGAGGAAATTGCAAAGATTAGAGCAGAAATCAATTAAATGGAAACTAAGAAAACGATACAAAAAGTAAATGAATCGAAGAGTTGGTTTCTTGCAAGAATAAATAAAATCAATAAACCCTTAGATAACCTTGTCAAAAAAAGGAAAGAAAATGCTCAGATCCACTCAATTAGGAATGAAAAAGGTGAAGTCACAACAGATCCAAGAGAAATCCAGAGGATTGTCAATACCTACTTTGAGAACCTGTACTCTAATAAGATGGGAAACACAGAATGGACAGACTTCTAGATACTTATGAATTACCAAAGTTGAACAAAGAAGACAAAAAATTCTAAACATCCTGATCACAATCAATGAAATTGAAAATGTAATTAAAAGTTTACCAATGAAGAAAAGCCCAGGTCCTGATGGATTCACCACTAAATCTTACAAGACATTTAGAGAAGAACTACTGCCATTACTCTTTAAACTTTTCAATGAAATTGAAAGCGAAGAAATACTTCCAAATTCATTCCTCGAAGCAAGTGTTACTTTGATTCCCAAACCAGGGAAAAACCCAACTAAAAAGGAGAACTACAGGCCAATTTCCTTAATGAATATAGATGCAAAAATCCTTAATAAGATAATGTAAAACAGAACACAAAGGGTCATCAAAAAGATCATATACCCTGACCAAGTTGGATTTATTCCAGGGATGCAAGGATGGTTCAACATACATAAATCAATAAATGGAATATACTATATTAACAGAATCAAGGACAAAAAACCATATGATCCTCTCAATAGATGCAGAAAAAGTATTTGACAAAATTCAACACCCATTCATGATAAAAACCCTGCAAAAAAATTGGAATAGATGGTCTATATCTCAACTTAATAAATGTTATCTATGAAAAACCAACAGCCAACATCATACTAAATGGCTAAAAACTGAAAATCTTCATGTTAAAATCAGGAACAAGACAAGGATGCCCACTATCATCACTCCTCTTCAATATAGTTCTGGAAACATTAGCCATAGAAATTAGACAAGAGAAAGAAATTAAAGCAATAAAGATAGGAAAAGAAAAAGTTAAACTGTCATTATTTGCTAACGATATCATGCTCTACATTAAAGACCCAAAAATTCCACCAAAAGACTTCTGGACTTAACTGACACTTTTAGCAGAGTAGCTGGATGCAAGGTCAACACTCAAAAATCAATAGCCTTCTTGTACACAAATAACAAACTCACTGAGAGAGAAATTAGGGAAACAATTCCTTTTACAATAGCATCCAAAAAAAAAAAAAAAGAAGTATCTAGAAATCAATCTAATGAAAGAAGCAAAAGATGTCTACACTGAAAACTAGAGCACTCTGAAAAAAGAGAATGAAGTGGATATAAGAAAATGGAAAAAAAAACCTGCTCCTGGGTAGGAAGAATCAACATAGTGAAAATGGCCATACTACCAAAACTGCTACACAGATTCAATGCAATGCCAATTGAAATTCCAACACTATATTTTACAGAACTAGAAAAATGAATCCAAAAATTCATTTGGAACCATAAGAGACCTAGAATAGCAAAAGCCATCCTAGGCAACAGAGACACGGCAGAGGGTGTAACAATTCCCAATTTGAAACTATACTACAAAGCCACTGTGATAAGAACAGCATGGCACTGGCAAAGAAACAGATCTGAGGACCAGTGGAATAGATTGGAAGATACAGAAACAATTCCAGATGTACTCAGCTACCTCTTCTAGGAGCCACCCATCCAAAGTGGAGGAAAGATAGCCTCTTTAATAAATGGTGTTGGAAAAACTGGATTTCAACCTGCCAAAGATTAAAACTAGACCTTTATCTTTCACCATGCACTAAACTAAAATCCAAGTGGATTAAAGATATAAATGTTAAAAAAGAGACACTAAATTTTCTGGAAGATAACTTAGGCAGAACTCTGGAAGACATTGTCATAGGAAAAGACTTTATGAACAAATCCTCAGTAGCATGGGAACTAGCAGAAAGAATCAACAGATGGGATCTCATCTTATTAAAAAGCTTCTGTACTGCAAAAGCAACCATCAACAGCACTAAGAGACAACCTACAATGTGGGAAAAATGTTTTACCAGCTGCTCCTCAGACAAAGGACTATTATCTAGAATATATAAAGAACTCAAAACAACCAGCCCCCCTAAATATAAAGACTTGATTCAAAAATGGGTATCTGAAAAGAACAAACATTTCTCAGACAAAGAAGTAAAAGCACCAATTAGATATATAAAAAATGTTCCACATCACTGCTCAATCGAGAGATGCAGATGAAAACAACATTGAGATTCCAGTTCACCCCACAAAAGAATGGCTGCTATCAAGAAATCACACAATAACAAATATTGGTGTGGTTGTGGGGAGAAAGGAACCCTTCTCAGTTGTTGGTGGGAGTGCAGACTGGTGCAACCACTATGGAAATCAATATGGAGATACCTGAAAGAACTAGGATTAGAGGTTCCATTTGACCCAGCCATTCCTCTTCTGGATATCTTTCCAAAGAATTACTAGAATCATACTACAATGATAAATGTACACGCATGTTTATAGCAGAACAGTTTGTAATAGCTAAGACTTGGAAACAGCTGATTTGCCCATCAGTTGGAGACTGGATAAAGAAGATGTGGTTTTTCTATAAAATGGAATATTACTCAGCCATAAAGAATGAGAAATTAGAGTTATTCATAGGAAAATGGATGTATATTAAGGATATACTATTAAGTGAAATAAATAAATCATACATATATAAATAATGAATAATTTCTATGATGTGAAAAACTAATCATAAATAAGATACAAATGGTATAATAGACAATGTAAAATAGGAAGAAAAGGGCTAAAGGTGTAGGGGATGTGGCAAGGGCAGGGGAAAGGAAATAAGGGAAAAGAAAAAAACATGAGAAAATGAAAAATTTGAAATAAAATCTTTGTAAATAGGGAAGGGAGGATGGGGTGAAGGGAGGGAGGGGGTATGAGGAAAAATGAGAAGCAAGACCTGTCATGTAAAGGTACAAGATCCCAATGATTAATGTAATTGTACTGTATACCTAAAATGTACTAATAAACTCAATGAGGAAAAAAAATTAAAAAAAAGAAAATTTCAGACCAATGTCATGTGATGGGTCATAGTCAAATCACAGGTGCAGTAATTATGTTGTATTAAATTATATTTAGATAATGTGCTTAAGATATATACAAAACTTGAACAGATTTTTAAATTTGGACTTGGGTCCCTGCCTCAAGATAATTCATTGTGTAGATGCAAATATTAAAACAAACAAACAAACCCCCTTCTAATTCTAAGCATTTTGGGCAAGGGAGACATATTCTTATTTGTTGTTTAGGTTGGATCACACTCTTTCTCTACTTCTTTTCTGACTTTACAAGGAGAGATGCCCCTTTCCATTCAGTGCCGTTCCAGGATGTTGCCAATCCGAGTAAACTCTAGCCACCTAGAGTTTCCTATTTCCAAGATCACCGTGATTGGCTTAGGGATGACATACAGCCCTTGCTGATCAATGACAGTCTTTCTCTGATATTTATATCCACAAGTGGAATAGAAAGATAAAACGCCTTTTACCTTTTAGTTGGAATAGTATGAAAAGTACTGTGGTTTTTCAAAGCCAACACAGAGACGCCCAACGAGAAACAGAGAAAGACCTAGAAGCAAGCTGGTTGCATACTTTGAATATCCAGAAGGCCTGTTAGCAGATCCTGAATTTCTCATGACATACTGGATACATCTTTTTTTGTGTGAATTAATTTGAACCATAGTTTGGAAGAATTCTGGGCGGAAAGGAAGCGTTATTCTGTGTCATTTTCTAATCTCAGCAACATTATAAACAGAATAATTTGGGAGGGTGGAGGATAGAACATCGTGTACTGTGATCAAACACTGGGCATAACGCACTGTACTTAGAGGATGTTTTATTTCCCTGAATTTCAGTATGGCAAAGAAATGAACATAAATTTATGTTCAATGTTAACTCATTTATGAGATCACGAAGAATGGCGTCAAATGACGGGAATACAAAGTTAAACGAGATAGTGTTTGCCCTCAAAAACCTGAAGTCTAGAACCAACATCGAGGCGAGAGAATGCAGCGTACGGTGACCTATCCAAAAGGAAGACGAAGTTTTATAGACAGACGCGAGAAAGCAAGCAGAGACAAGGGGCAGGAGCTCTGTTCCGTACTCGTCCTGGGGCATTCAGAAGTTGTCGGTGTTCACAGCCTGAGGACCCAGAGTGACCCTGGAGGTTTCCAGACCCCAGCTGGTGAGACACACAGCCTTCCGCCTGTGGAGAGGAGACCGCCCCGGAGAGCAGGACGGAGCACGGGCCCTGTGGTACTGAGGGAGACTGTCGTCCACACGGCCACGACAACTCGGTGCCCAGAAACTACGAAAATGAAACAGCAATCAAATAAAATATTTTGGTTTTCACCAGACAGTGACCAAAATATATAACAAGTCCTCCAGTCAAATTTTTCTTAAAAGAAACAGACAAAGCAAACAACCAACCAACCTGACGGGAAACAGCACGGCGCTGTTAGGAAGTCCGGATTCCCTTCCAACACCCTCTAACTTTCCTCCCCATGAAAAGGCCGGTGTGTTTCTGACGTTACTGTGTTCCGCTGTTCCGGGTAGCAGGTCTGGGGCTCCTGCTAAATGCGGACACAGCCCGACGGACTCACGTTCACGGCCGTGGTTTAGACACTGCAGAAACCCGAAGACTGGGCTCACGGTGGGTCGAGCTGCGCCCCAGCCTTCTGCACCTTCAGGCGCACGCTCACCTGCTCTCCCGCGTTTCATTCAGCGAACGGGGGACAGTTTTCTCCACGGTGCTGCTTTTCAAAGCGTCACTTCTCCGTGCTCGAGCGTTCCTCCTAAATGAATGACCTTTTAGTAAACGTCAGAATGCGGAGGGAAACTTTTTTTCTTTCCTTTCTTTCTTTTTTATCTTACAAAGAGCACAAAGTAAGAAAATTGGAAGCGTTCATAAAGTCTACGCCTACAAATCCCTTGCTGTGGATCTGAGCCCTGACTACGCTGGAGAGAACTGGAACCTTCCCAGACCCCGGGGGAGCAGGGCCTGTGCTGCATGGACAGAAAGTGAAAACTTCCCGTGAGAAGAAACTCCGAAGACCAGTCGGAACCGAGAGCCCCCTTCACCGCGGTGCACCCTCGCGCGGACCCGGCCCAGTCGTCGGCTTGCAGGGGAGCCGCAGCCGGGACGATGCGTTTGTGTTCTAACGTCAAAC